CTAAAACAAATAGATCCAAAATCACCTGCTGCTCCCGCCTCACCTCTCGGATTCGACGACAGGCGCGCCATGTCCGGGAATCGGGCCTGACTGCGGAAGATGGCGTTGGCGGAAGAACCACGGGACTTCATGTGGGGACCAAGCTGTTCTCGCTTCAGTTCACTACTGTGTTTCCAGGCGTCTAGGTATTCCTCGTAAGGTCCATGACACTTGCGGCCCAGCGACGGCGCAAGCCTTTACCCCGCTGCCGTCGAACGATGCCGACGCCATCTGCTAACGAGCGGCCCTGGGGAGCAGGTCGCGGTCCAGTGGAGCAACCTGCTCCGCTGCCAACTTGAGGAGCATTTACTCTATTGCCATGGCACGGCGGAGGTGGCCGGAAGGCCCCGGTGCACGCGGACCCCGCGCGCCCCCTTTTCCGGCGGCGCGGCTCTAGGGCCCTGGACAAGCCCGAGCAGCAGCAGCAGGCAAGCAGTGAGAAGAGGAAGGAAGAGAGGACAGACAGCACAAGACAACAGTACTGAGATGGATGGGAAATCACGCATCTTCTGGACCTGGGGTTTCAACCACATTCTACTGGTCAGCGGGCTTTCCCAAGCCCAAGGCACCAGAAACTTCCTTAAACACCTCATGTTTTCGAGGGTGGCTCTGAGGCAACTATTGCCTTCATCTACCTTGCGATGCTCGTTTTCAAGCAAGTTCGAAACACCCCAAGGCTGGCCCCGCGCGCGGACCATGAGGGCCCGACCCCGAGAGATTGGAAGAAAAAAAGAAAAAGAAAAAAAAAAAAAAAAAAAAAAAAAAAAAAAAAAAAAAAAAAAAAAAAAAAAAAAAAAAAAAAAAAAAAAAACTAGAGCACGGCGGGGCCAAACAAGCGGCTATGACCTCACCATCACGGATCATTGGATCGATGATCATTACATGCTTAGCTCTAGCCAAATCGTAAGCCTCTCCAAACCGACTGCCCGTTCAACAGCTCGAAAACCTCCCGATCTCACTGCCCCACCTCCACCATAGCGCGAAACAAATATCCAAGAATACTCCTTCTTTCACGGAGGCGGCGGCCAGTCGGCTTTCAGCCCCAGGACGAACTCCCCGACGCGTGCCTCGCACCTTCTGAACCACTCCTGACGGGCCTCGGATTGCTCTGCCATCTGCATGGCCAGCCGCCCGTGCTTCTCGCACCTCACCTGGATCTTTGTCGCGACCCAGCGCCCCCTCTTCTGGATCTGCTGCAGTGCGCGGACCCCCTTCAGTCTGTCCCAGCTCAGCCCTGAGTGGCGCACGTGGTAGAGCACCGCGTCTACCCCGATCAGCTTCGACGCCAATCTCACAGACCTCAGCACGCGCGAAAAGTCCAGCGCCCAGTGGCCGGCCGCTGGGCCTCTGCCGCAGAACCTCGAACACCGCATTCATGAAGAGCAGGCACGGCGCGCCCCAGAGCAGGCTGTCGTCGAACGCGCCCACCTTGGTCGGCACCCCCCTGTCCTCGGGCGCCACCAGCAGGCCCCAGTAGGTCGACAACCCCGTCGCAAGCGCGACCAGGTCCTCGGGCTGGATCCTCAGGCACTCGCGCGGCCTGAGGGAAATGCCCAATGCGGCCAGGACCCACAACCCCACCTCCAGTTCGCTCAGCTGGATCAGCGCTGTCACCAAGCCAGCCACAACCGGGAACGGGAAGGGCGCGCGGCCAGGCACCAGGGGCTTCCAGCCTTTCAAAGCACGGTCACTCCTTGACAGGCGGAGGTTGCCGCACTTGCCGTACTCGGGAAAGATGGCCATCCAGGCTGCGATCAACTTGGCGCCGTAGCTGCCGCGCTCGCCTGCACCCCCTCCTCGGGCTCAGGTTCGCGCCCGCCTCCAGGCGGCTCGTCTTCCTCGGCCCAGGCTTCAGCGCCTGGCTCTCGCTCTCGCTGCTGCCCTCCGACCCGCGGTCGACCGAAGCCTCGCCCCTGTCGATCTCCTCGAGGCCCCCTGCGGGCTTCGCCGGCCTGCGCGCGGCCTGGAGGTCAGCGAGCTGAGGGCCGCGCGCCCGCGCTCGGTCGGCACCCCGTGGCGGCAACGCGGCAGCGGCAGCGGTCAGCACCCGCGGGCGGCCGTTCAGCGTCTCGGGCTCGAGGTCGCCGGGCCGCCCTCGCTTGCCCATCCACCGCCGCCCGCCCCGCCGAGGGGGCCGCCGGGGCCCCTGCTCGAAGCTCGAGCCCAGGCGGCTGCGGTAGACGGAGGGGGCCTGCCTCGGGGTTCCTGGGGGGCTCCTCTGCGACGCCCATTCTGAAGGGATCCATCCGATAGCTAACCGAATCCCTCTCGCAAGACAAATCGCACACCATTCTTCACCTGAATCAACATCGCAAAGTCTCGCGCTCGGCACCGTTCGAAGGCTAGCACCATGCTCAGGTTGTCGCCTAGGTACAGCTAGCGCACGCCAGCTCCTGACCTGGCTCGCGCCCCCCCGCGCAGCATCGCCACTGCCGCGCGGGGCCCCAGCAGCGCAATGCGCTCTGCTGCCCGCCAACGGCCCCGAAGGGTGGCACGCCAGTTATCTTTCTTCAGCAGCGCTCTGGGGATCTCTGGGAAGTCGGCTACCCCATCGAGGTCCTCCTCGGGCAGGTCGGCGTCGGCGTCATCGAAGCGAGCCAACCCCGCCTGCTGCAGAACATGATCCCTGGCGGAGGCCGAGGCAAGGCGATACCTCGACCTCTCGGGCGCTCGCCCGTGCAAGGCGGCGGTCTCTGCACCCCGCCAAGTAGAGCGACTCCCCCAGCCCGGCCCAGCCCTCCTCACTGGCGCTGCTAGCGTCAACTACCCCACTCCAGGGGAAACCCCAAGAGGCGGTCAGCAGCAGCATGAGACCAAAGAAGGCTGTGAACTCGGCCCTCACCGAGGCCCACATGGGACAGAGCCCAGGAGGGTGCGCCTGCACGAACTTGTAGACGGCGTGGAACACGGAGATGGTCTGGCGGCCCAGCAGGCCCACATTCGCGCAGTGCCCCACGAAGACCTCCACCATGCGCGTCGAGACCTTCCGCCTCGCCAAGAGCCAGCGCAGCCCCGCATCCAGCCGCCAGTAGCGCGCCGCCGTGTCTGGCGAGTCTCGGCGTTGAGCTGAACCCCCAGGCTGTCCGCGGCCAGCGGCGCCTCCAAGCGAGCGTGCACGGAGAGCCCCGCCTGCTCGAAGGACGCGCACGCGCCCGCGAAGCCAGCGGCCCCGCGGCTGCGACCCGCGCCCAGAACCCCCAGGTCGTCGGCGTACACGCAGCGCGCTGTCAGCGCCCCCGCGCCCAGCATCGCCGGCCCGCGGCGATCCGCCATCGGCGGCTGCTGCTCCAGCCCTGGCCCCTGCGCCGCGTGGCACTCGTTCGCGCACCGTGCCACGACGAGGCTTCAGCTGAAGCCCATCGGGAAGGTAGCGCAGCAGGGCCAGGAGCCCAGCAGCCCGCGCCAGCAGCGGCGGAAGCGCGAAAAACTCCGCGAGCTCCTCCCGCATCCGCAGGCGGCGAAGCAGCCGGCCACGTCCGCCTGGGCCATGCACACGTCGTCGGCGTCTGCCTGAAGCTCGATACGCCCAAGCCCTTCAGCAGTACACAACTGCACTCCTGGAGGTGGACTGAACAACCTGTCCGCGGGCCTCGCGTCTGCTATCGGCCGAAGCGCCCCGCTCTTCTTCTTCGCAATAAAACATGAGGCGCCTCGGGCCCCTCGCCCAATGAGTCATGCCCTTCTTTTCGTTCATCGATAACGGCTGGAACCCCATCAGGCGCAGTGCAAAGCCTCCTCTACGCAACGACCTCGGAAGACTCCATGCCCCCGGGCCCCGTTCAAAGCAGGGCACGGCCACGCGCAGAAGTCCGAGCGACAACATTCGGCATGGCTCAGAACGTCACAGAGCAACACACAGAAGTTCGAGCGACAGCATTCGGCATCGCTCACACAGTCGTACACAGGAGCATCACATCAAGGAAGTTAGAGGGCGGGAAGGACAATTCAACGGGGAGGAGGAGGACGAGGAGGAGGGAGAACACGCCCAAACAGAAACTCGCGCGCGCGTAGGCCGACCGAGGTAGACGGCACCTGCACAGGAACCCTCGCGAGCACGAGCGATACCAAGGGGGGGGAGGAAGGAGAAGGGAGGAGGGGGGAGACCGAATTCGCCAGCGGCGCAATCGGGCATCAGCCTGGGCGACCCCCGCAAGGTCGGCCCGAATCCTACCACGTAGGGGCGGGACGCGGCAGAGTGGATACACCCTTGGGGTGGCAGCTAATATCTATATATACATATATATATAAACGCGGAGAGCTCCGGCTGCGCGGAGAGCTCACCGCCTGCCTGGCCTCCAGGACAGGACAGTGGAATCCCTACGTCAGATCTTCTGATCAAGCTGGCGCACGAACCTCCAGCAAAGCCTAGGTGACGACTCTGGGCGGCGATCCACGCGCGGCTTACAGCCCCAAAACTCTGATCGAGCTCGTTCACCTCCTCGGGGCTCCGCCGATTGCGCTCGATGAACCTCTCGAGCAAACCGCGGGCGCGTGCGCCCCCGATCAAGTCCGCATACCTCGCGTCGCGGGCGTCATCGGGTAGCGACACCTTGCCCTCTTCGTAGGGCGCCACAGTCATGTGCGCCTGGTCGCACACCGACTCGGCGCGGAGAGGCGCGCGAGCGGCTTCCTCCCAGGAGACCGAACGATCAGGTGCCTTCCAGCCGTGGACGGCCTTCAGCACTCGGTCGTAGATCCCCCGATGGACAGGGGCAGCAGTTGCAGGAGCTCGACATTCTCCAGCATCGTCACCACAGCCGGACATCCAGTTCAGCACGCAAAACTTCGTTGGCCCCGATGTCCAACGCCGACCAACCCGCTGACGGACACCACGTGAAAGACCACGGGCTGGGGGCTCTGTCTCGAGCATCGGCACGGGGCTGGAATTCTCAACGCGGTAGGACCCACCAGTCTCATGTGCGAGCCGTACCCGCTGGTGGTCCCAGTTACGGCCGCCTCGATCACTTGTAACCTCCTGCGGCATCGGCATTCCCGCTCTCGGTCTTGCCTCGGAGCTCCATGACCTTCTGCCGCTGCTTCTCAGACTCGGTCTTCCCCTTCGCCTGGCGAGCCGTGAAGCTCTTCAAGTCAGGCGACACTGCGTCCGACAAGCTCTTAATCCCCGAGAAGTACTTCGCGTTCTCGAAGTTGGGCTTGCTGGGGTTGTTGTTTTACGCATCCACTATGGCCTGCACACGCAGGCAGAGAAGTTCTGCGAACACCAGCGTCCCGAGATTGAGCTGGTCGTAGCTGCCCGCGTACTCCAGAGCGTCTAGGATCGTTCCGAGCTCATAGTGCACCCTGTCGCCGACCGCGATGTTCTTACTCTGGGACCACTTGTCCAGCCATCCAGACGGCACGCGTCCAGTCCGCTCCATGCGTGCGCAGAAGTGCACTGCAGTGGGCCGGGCGTCGAGCGGCCAGTCAGCGCAAGGATGGCGAGTCATCTCCGCCACCACCTCTCGCCACGCGTTGTACCTCTTCCCCTGGGCGTCGAAGTCCACGGACAGAGTCCGCGCATCAGCATCGCCGCTACCAGCTGGCCCTGGCGGGCTGCGGTCCCCGCCATTGAGCCTCGCCGCCAGCGCATCCAGACCGCCGTCCGCCCGCGGCGCCCCCGTGCCAGCAGCCGCCTCCGTCTCGCCAGGCCCAGGAGCTGCCACTCCTAAAGCCGCGCACGCTCGCGGAAGGCATCCCGCGCGTGAGCCGAGAGGGCCAACACCTTCGTCCAGCCACTGCCATTCCGCACGAGCGCCTCGCTAGCACCCACGGCGCCCCCGAGCAGCACGTCGCCCCCCCCGACCTCGTCCACGATCGTCCACGCCGTCCCCGGGCGCGCGCGGGCCTGCCAGCGCGAGCCCAGCGGGCAGGCGAGCCGCCTCCTCCGCCACGGGACAGCGTCGGCGCCAGCGGCAGGCAACAGGGGCGCCGCGGCGGGCACATCCAGCAGGGCGCCGATTGGACGCGCACGCCCGCTGGTGCTGACATAGCAGGTGACCTGCGGCAGCTCCTGCCCGTCGGCCTCCAGCCGCACCTCTCCGCGCGCCTCGCCGACCAGCACCCTCAGCCCCCTCGTTCCCAGGGACTCCCTGAAGCTGTAGACCGCCTCTCGCAACCCCGCAGGCAACGCGCCAGCCCTCAGCCCGCGGGTCCGCGCGGGCCCGTCGTCGCAGCCGACGACGCTCTTAGCGTACAAGTGGCCGTCGGGCACCAGGACCATCCACGTCCCGACCTCCACCGTCGGCTAGAGGCACATCTTCTCGTGCCAGACCGTGTCGTCCTCGAACCACGCCAGATAGAGTTCTCCTGGCCGCAAGTGCCTCCAGAACTCCCGCGCCTCCGCGCCGGCTGCTATGATCGCCATCCCGCCGCCGACGACGCGAGCTCCCCACCAGCCAGACGGTGTTCACCACCGAAGCCAAGCAGCCCAGCACCGAAAGCCAGCCTCTTGCCGATGGGGCCTCGGCGCCGTCAGCGTCGCACACGCCGACTGCAGCCAGCCAGGTCGGCTCCGTCGGCGGGCAGACGCTGCTCGGGCAGGGCGGACAATCGGGCCAAGGCTCGCCACTGCCGGGGCAATGGAACTGCGGGGGCTGTGTGAGAAGCGGTCACACCACCGTTTCGAGAAAAGCCACAGAGACCGTCCCTGTGCTAACGTCCTGCCCAGGATTCGTCCCGCGAGAAGACTTGAACAGAAACAGTTGCGGAAATGATCGTAACATCGACCCACCCACCCCATTCAAACCTGTACACGCACATCAATGATTATGATGAAGATGATGATGTTGATGTTGATGCTGATGTTGATGATGATGGTGATGATGATGATGATGATGATCATGATGATGATGATGATGGTGATGGTGATGGTGATGGTGATGGTGATGGTGATGGTGATGATGATGATGATGATGATGCTGATGCTGATGATGATGATGATGATGATGATGATGATGATGATGATGATGATGATGATGATGATGATGATGATGATGATGATGATGATGATGATGATGATGATGATGATGATGATGATGATGATGATGATGATGATGATGATGATGATGATGATGATGATGATGATGATGATGATGATGATGATGATGATGATGATGATGAATGTGTGTGAGTGCGTGAGTGTGAGAGTGACTGCGCTGGGTGTCCAGTGGGGAAACACGAGGTGCGAACCCCAGGAGGGACACTTTACTTGGAAAGCAGGAGGTGCACTGGAGGGGGCTCAACAATCATTGTTTCTTGAAAAAAGAACTAATCATTGTCAGGCTGTTCGCTCTTATCGGCCCGCGTGCCACTCAACACGTGTATCCCAAACCGTCGATACCCGCCCTCCTGCCGCGTGTAGTTTGCGCAGCAGCTAAAACAGAGTAGGGGAGGAGGGAGGAGACAAGGGTGAGGGAGAAGGATGGAGCACGAGAAATTAGCAGGAGAAGGGTTAGGAGCGGGAGCACAAGCGTCAGAACCAGACGGGCGGGTCGGGCGGGCGGACCCACACGGGAAGGTTGGGCAGGCGGGCCCAGACGGCCGGGTCGAGCGGGCGGGTCGCTGAAGTGTCAATCCATCAAGAATCGCAAGGAAGTTTCGAGCGATAGCGCGATCCCCAAGTAAATTGTGAAGGAATCTCCAGCGAAAGCGTGTTTCCTGATTCCAGCGGGCGCGGCGCAGTACCACGCGAGAGCTCGATTCCTGCATAAAGTATGAGAAACTCCCGCGAAAGGGCGCGATCTTGAAACAAATTGTGAGGAAGAATCAGGCAGAAGCCGTTGTTGTAAACTGGGGGGCAATAACGTAGCTTGAAGACCAAGAGTTTCCCTGAGAATGAACTGGGTGTGAGACCCAGGTGGAGCACTTCAATTGAAAAACACAAAGGGGGATCACCAAAAATAATTCTAAAAGTGAGGACTCATCAACAATCATGTTGAAACTGATCGTTCCTATCTGCTCGCGTGCCATTCGAAACGAGAATCCCAAACCCTCGGTACCCGCCCTCTTCGTCTTCGATCGTACCCCCTTGGGGGTATATCTTCCATACATGCCACGCGTATTTAGCGCAGCCGCTCAAACAGGGGAAGAGAGGACGGACGGGAGCGAGAGCGTGATTCCTGAGTGTCGAGGGCGCGGTGTTTGAATAAATTGCGAGGATGTCCCACGCGAGCGCGCGATTCCTTCATTCATTGTCAGGAAGTCCCGCGAGAAGCGCGGCTTGGGAATAAGTTGTGAGGAAGTATCAGGCGGCAGCCGCTGTTGCTGCAAACCGGCGGTAATGGGATACAAGATGAACTCAAGACTTCCCCGTGTAACAAAACAGGGTGCGAGCCCTGCGAGGAGCACTTCATTTGAAAATCACACTGGGCACCTGTCGGCATGTGTGAGGGGCTTGTCCGTTCAAGTCGTCATCTCCGTCATTCATTGGTCGTCGTCTCTGTCGTCTCCCTTTTCCTGCCTCCCCCATTTCCCTGGGCTCGTCGAAACTCCCCCCTTTCCCAGGGACCTCCTCAGCGGGCCAGCCAAAGCGAAGTTGAGCAAGGTCGTAATTGAGTCGAAGGGAAGCCCCTTCCCTTCGATCCCTCCTCCGCCGGGGGGCCTCTTGGGGCCAAGAGTGCCCAAGAGGCCCCAAAGACAGTCCAAGAGATCCCCGAATCGCCGAACGATCTGTCCAAGACGTCTTGACGGCCTCCAGACGGCCCACGAGGCCTGCAAAGCGCTCCAAGAGGCCTCCAGGAGCTTTCCCACGAGAGCCCCAAGAGGCAAAGTTCTTTGATTTCCAATGCGTTTTTGAAAGATTTGGGCGTTCTTGCCTCTTCCGCTTCCCGACGCGCCAAGACGGCCCAAGAGGCCCGCAAAATCGCCCCGAGACGGCCCAAGAGGCCCCCAAGAGGGTCCCCTAACGGCCGAAGAGGGCCCCAAGACGGCCCAAGACGCCTCCAAGACGGCCCAAGAGGCCCCCAAGACGGCTCCACGAGAGTGCCCAGACGGGGGACCCGAACGGACATTCAGAAGAGGTCCCCAAGAGGCCCCGAAGAAGCCCCAAGAGGTCCCAAGATGGCCCCCATGCTGGCGCCTATACACCAGTATCGGCGCCGGCACCAACGTCCGCGCATAACTACGCCACCGCCTGCACCGGCACCGACGCCAGCACCGACGCCAGCACCGACTTCGGCGCCTACACTGGCACCAGCGCTGGCGCCCGCACCAGGGCCGACGCTAATGCCAACGTCCGGGCCTACGCCGCCTACGCCGGTACCGTCTCCAGCGCCTACACCAACAATGACACCATCACCGACGCCAGCTCTCACGCCAGCGCCTGCGCGGGCAACAACGCCAGCGCCTGCACCAGCACCAACGCCAGCACCAACGCCTGCGCCTACGCCATCACCAACGCCTGCGTCTACGCCAGCACCGACGACGGCACCGACGCCAGCACTGACCCCAGCGCCTACGCCGGCACCAACGCCAACGTCCACGCCGTCACCAACGCAATCGCCTGCAGCAGCACCGAAGCCAGCACCGACGGAAGCACCTTCGCCAGCGCCTACGTTAGCACCAACGCTGGCGCCTACACCAAGTCCGACGCCAGCACCGACGCCAGCGCCTACGCCGGCACCGTCGTCAGCGCCTGCACCAGCACCGACGCCAGTACCGTGGCCAGATCTCACGCGGGCGCCTGCACCGGCACCAGCGCCAGCGCCTCCACTGGGACTGACGCCAGCACCAACGCCTGCGCCTGCGCCAGCACCGAAGCCAGCATCTATGTCAACACCGATGCCGGCTCCGACGCCAGCACCGACCTCAGCGCCTACGCCTGTACTAACGCCAGCGCCTACGCCGACGCAAGCGCCTGCAGCAGCACCGACGCCAGCACCGACGACGCCAGCACCGACGCCAGCGCCAACGCTGGCACCAGTGCTGGCGCCTACACCAGTATTGGCGCCAGCACCAACGTCCGCGCATACGCCACCGCCTGCACCGGCACCGACGCCAGCACCGACGCCAGCACCGACTTCGGCGCCTACACTGGCACCAGCGTTGGCGCCCGCACCAGGGCCGACGCTAATGCCAACGTCCGGGCCTACGCCGCCTACGCCGGTACCGTCTCCAGCGCCTACACCAACAATGACACCATCACCGCCGCCAGCTCTCACGCCAGTGCCTGCGCGGGCAACAACGCCAGCGCCTGCACCAGCACCAACGCCAGCACCAACGCCTGCGCCTACGCCATCACCAACGCCTGCGTCTACGGCAGCACCGACGCCAGCACCGACGCCAACACCGACCCCAGCGCCTACGCTGGCGCCAACGCCAATGCCTACACCAGCACCGACGCCAGCACCAACGCCTGCGCCTACGCTGGCACCAACAGCGCCTACACCACCGCCGACGCCAGCACCAGCGCCAGTGCCGACGCCAGCACCAACGCTGGCGTCCACACCAGCACCGACGCCAGCTCCAAAGCCTGCGCCCACGCTGGCACCAACGCCAGCTCCTCCACTGGGACTGACGCCAGCACCAACGCCTGCGCCTGCGCCAGCACCGAAGCCAGCATCTACGCCAGCACCGACGCCGGCACCGACGCCAGCACCGACCTCAGCGCCTACGCCTGTCCCAACGCTAGCGCCTACGCCGGCACCAACGCAAGCGCGTGCAGCGGCACCGACGCCAACACCGACTCCAGCGCCTCCGCTGGCACCAACGCTGGCGCCTACACCAGCACCGACTCCAGCACCGACGCCAGCGCCTACGCCGGCACCGTCGTCAGCACCTACACCAGAATCGACGCCAGCACCGTGGCCAACTCTGACGCCGGCGCCTGCACCGGCACCAACACCAGCGTCTCCACCAGCATTGACGCCAGCACCAGCGCCTGCGCCTACGCCAGCACCAACGCCAGCGTCTACTCCAGCACCGACTCCAGCACCGACGCCAGCACCGCTTCCTACGCCAGCACCGACGCCAGCGACCCCAGCGCCCACGCCGGCACCAACGCCAACGTCCACGCCGGCACCAGTGCAAGTGCCTGCAGCAGCACTGCCGCCGGCATCGACGCCAGCACCGTCGCCAGCGCCTACGCCGGCACCAACGCTGGCGCCCGCACCAACACCGACCCCAGCGCCTACGCCAGCACAGACGCCAGCACCAGCACCGACGCCCACGCCAGCGCCTGCAGCAGCACCGTCGCCAGCACCAACGCCTGCGCCTACGCTGGCACCCAGGCATGGG